TTAGGGAGTCTCTTGTGCGTCTGGAGTCTTGTGTGTCTGGAGTCTTGTGTGTCTGGAGTCTTGTGTGTCTGGAGTCTTGTGTGTCTGGAGTCTTGTGTGTCTGGAGTCTTGTGTGTCTGGAGTCTTGTGTGTCTGGAGTCTTGTGTGTCTGGAGTCTTGTGTGTCTGAGCTTTGGTGGTTCGGGAGTCTTGGTGGTCTGAGTCTTGTGTGCCTGGAGTCTTGTGTGTCTGGAGTCTTGTCGTCTGGAGTCTTGTGCGTCTGGAGTCTTGTGCGTCTGGAGTCTTGTGTGTCTGGAGTCTTGTGTGTCTGGGTCTTGTGTGTCTGGAGTCTTGTGTGTCTGGAGTCTTGTGTGTCTGGAGTCTTGTGCGTCCGGAGTCTTGTGTCTGGGTCTTGTGTGTCTGGAGTCTTGTGTGTCTGGAGTCTTGTGTGTCTGGAGTCTTGTGTGTCTGGAGTCTTGTGCGTCTGGAGTCTTGTGTGTCTGGAGTCTTGTGTGTCTGGAGTCTTGTGTGTCTGGGTCTTGTGCGTCTGGAGTCTTGTGTGTCTGGGTCTTGTGCGTCTGGAGTCTTGTGCGTCTGAGTCTTGTGCTCTGGAGTCTTGTGTGTCTGGAGTCTTGTGTGTCTGGAGTCTTGTGTGTGGAGTCTTGTGTGTCTGGAGTCTTGTGTGTCTGGAGTCTTGTGTGTCTGGAGTCTTGTGCGTCTGGGTCTCTTGTGTCTGGAGTCTTGTGTGTCTGGAGTCTTGTGGGTCTGGAGTCTTGTGTGTCTGGAGTCTTGTGTGTCTGGAGTCTTGTGTGTCTGGAGTCTTGTGTGTCTGGAGTCTTGTGCGTCTGGAGTCTTGTGTGTCTGGGTCTTGTGCGTCTGGAGTCTCTTGTGTGTCTGGAGTCTTGTGTGTCTGAAGTCTTGTGTGTCTGGAGTCTTGTGTGTCTGGAGTCTTGTGTCTGGGTCTTGTGTGTCTGGAGTCTTGTGTGTCTGGAGTCTTGTGTGTCTGGATCTTGTGTGTCTGGAGTCTTGTGTGTCTGGGTCTTGTGTCTGGAGTCTTGTGTGTTTGGAGTCTTGTTTGTCTGGAGTCTTGTGTGTCTGGAGTCTTGTGTGTCTGGAGTCTTGTGTCTGGGTCTTGTGTGTCTGGGTCTTGTGTGTCTGGAGTCTTGTGCGCCTGGAGTCTTGTGTGTCTCTGAGTCTTGTTGTCTGGAGTCTTGTGTCTGGAGTCTTGTGTGTCTGGAGTCTTGTGTCTGGAGTCTTGTGTGTCTGGAGTCTTGTGTGTCTGGAGTCTTGTGTGTCTGGAGTCTTGTGTGTCTGGATCTTGTGTGTCTGGAGTCTTGTGTGTCTGGAGTCTTGTGTGTCTGGAGTCTTGTGTGTCTGGGTCTTGTGCGTCTGGAGTCTTGTGCGTCTGGAGTCTTGTGCGTCTGGAGTCTTGTGCGTCTGGAGTCTTTGTGTGTCTGGAGTCTTTGTGTCCGGAGTCTTGTGTGTCTGGAGTCTTGTGTGTCTGGAGTCTTGTGTGTCTGGAGTCTTGTGTGTCTGGAGTCTTGTGTCTGGGTCTTGTGTGTCTGGAGTCTTGTGTGTTTGGAGTCTTGTCTGGAGTCATGTGTGTCTGAGTCTTGTGTGTCTGGAGTCTTGTGTGTCTGGAGTCTTGTGTGTCTGGAGTCTTGTGTCTGGAGTCTTGTGCGCCTGGAGTCTTGTGTGTCTGGGTCTTGTGTGTCTGGAGTCTTGTGTGTCTGGAGTCTTGTGTGTCTGGAGTCTTGTGTGTCTGGAGTCTTGTGTCTGGAGTCTTGGGTTGGGGAGTTGGTGTCAGGGCTTAAGGGTTTACAGTAGATGTTGGTAAGTGTTCCCAGCCCAACCCAACCCACCGCAACCAAACAACAACCCAACCAACCAACCAACCCAACCCAACCAACCCAACCCAACCAACCCAACCCAACCCATCCCAACCCAATCGAACCCAACAACCCAACCAACCCAACCCAGCAACCCAGCAACAACAACCCAACCCAACCCAACCCAACCCAACCCAACCCAACCCAACCACCCCAACCCAACAACCCAACCCAACCAACCCAACAACCCAGCCAACCCAACCCAACCAACCCCAACCCAACCCAACCCAACCGAACCGAACCCAACCCAGCCAACCCAACCCAACCCACCCCCAACCCAACAGCAACCCAACCCAACCCAACCCAACCCACCCCAACCCAACCCAACCCAACCCAACCCAGCCAACCCAACCCAACCCAACCCACATTATTGTTTTTTGCTCATTTATGTCAGGTTAAATATTTACAATGTTATTTTGTGTCATAAGAAAAACATAATCAAATGTCTCCTGTATACACACATAGGCTTACATAAATCAACAACAACAACAACAACAACAATACGCTAGACTTAACAACTGAACTATCTAACTACCCTTTAATAGACTAATTTCGTTGCATAGGGCACAAGAGACTGGGTAATTAGAGTGGGAATGATAATTAACGAGAGAATTGTTACACGTGTTAATCCTGACCTCGTTAACTACCGACTTAATGTCCTTGAAACTGACTTGGGTCACTGGACGACTATTAAGGTGTGTGTGTGTGTGTGTGTGTGTGTGTGTGTGTGTGTGTGTGTGTGTGTGTGTGTGTGCGTGCGTGTGTGCTTGAGGGTGAAACATTTGTAGGAAGTTTCTGTAGAGTTTAATTACTTTACACCTGGTTTAGTTATTCACTCTGGCAGATTTACTCATTCACTCTGGCAGATTCACTCATTCACTCTGGCAGATTCACTCATTCACACAGATTCACTCATTCACTCTGAGAATTCACTCATTCACTCTGGCAGATTCACTCATTCACACTGACAGATTCACTCACGCATAATTCACTCTTCGATTCATTTACTGACTATCTGAATCACTCGCTGGCTTAATAACTGTTTCACACACTCACACCCTGACACTTTACATGATACAAATTATAGTCCGTGTAGTTTGAATTTGTAATAACTGTACTGTACTGATGTCACTTAATATAATTCTGTAATATCATTCTTGCATTATAAAACAGTGGCGAATGGATGGTCACGTTCCCCTTCTCCGCGTCAGCACACACACACACACACACACACACACACACACACACACACACACACACACACACACACACACACTACAGTACATTGCCAGAATCTCCCCAATGTTGTTAGTCGATTCGTGAGTTTTTCCACTCCCTCATGTTAGATATATCACGGCTTCCTCCTTCTTCTCCACCTGCTGCTGCGTCGGTAACATTCAATAACCTGTAGAAGAAAAAGGTAATCTCCCCCCCTCCCCCCAACCTCTCCACCTCTCCTCCTCTTCCCGCCATTACTGTCCGGTGTTTAAGACGACCTTCCATAATATTTACAGTGTTTTCCCCTCGTTCGCTGTTTTTTCCCTCTCGTTCGTTGTTTTATTCATTCGTTCTTTGTTTTTTTCCTCCTCGTTCGCTGTTTTCCCACATTCGTTGTTTTTTCCCCTCGTTCTCTGTTTTTTCCCCCTCGTTCGTTGTTTTATCCTTTCGTTCTTTGTTTTTTCCCACATTCATTATTTTTTCCCCTCGTTCTCTGTTTTTTCCCCTCGTTCTCTGTTTTATCCCCTCGTTCGCTGTTTTTCCCCCCTCTCATAAATGACGTTCTTTACAGCATCTTTTCTTCTCCTTCGCTTCTTTATGCCTGTTTTATCCTTCGCTTTATGCCTTCTCCTTTAGTCTCCTCCTGTAGCAGTGGAGGCCGGGCTTGTCGTCTCCTATCTCTTGGCCATGGTCTCGTTTGACTCACCTCCCCACCCTCACCAGGCCATAGAGGAGAGACAAATTCTCCGGAACTTTTCCCTCACCGCACCGAGACTCTTCCTTCATCTTTGTTTTCCTCACAATTTACCTGGAGCTTACCTGTTTCCTACCTCCAGTCTTACCTACAGTCTAACCTACAGTATCACCTACAGTCTTACCTACAGTCTTACCTACAGTCTCACCTCAGTCTTACCTCCAGTCTTACCTACAGTCTAACCTACAGTCTACCTACAGTCTCACCTATAGTCTTACCTACAGTCTTACCTACAGTACCTACAGTCTTACCTACAGTCTTACCTACAGTCTACCTACAGTCTTACCTACAGTCTTACCTACAGTCTTACCTACAGTCTCACACCTACAGTCTTACCTACAGTCTTACCTACAGTCTTACCTACAGTCTAACCTACAGTCTCACCTACAGTCTTACCTACAGTCTTACCTACAGTCTTACCTACAGTCTTACCTACTAGTCTTACCTACAGTCTTACCTACAGTCTTACCTACAGTCTTACCTACAGTCTTACCTACAGTCTTACCTCCAGTCTTACCTACAGCCTTACCACCTACAGTCTTACCTGATCTTACCTCCAGTCTTACCTACAGTCTTACCTCCAGTCTTACCTGTCTCACCTACAGTCTCACCTACAGTCTAACCTACAGTCTACCTACAGTCTTACCTACAGTCTTACCTACAGTCTCACCTACAGTCTCACCTACAGTCTTACCTACAGTCTTACCTACAGTCTTACGTCCAGTCTTACCTACAGTCTTACCTACAGTCTTACCTCCAGTCTTACCTACAGTCTTACCTCCAGTCTTACCTCCAGTCTCACCTACAGTCTTACCTACAGTCTTACCTACAGTCTCACCTACAGTCTTACCTACAGTCTCACCTACAGTCTCACCTACAGTCTTACCTACAGTCTAACCTACAGTCTCACCTACAGTCTCACCTACAGTCATATTCTCCTCAGGCACATCGAAAGCTCCTTAGTCACACACCATCTTGGGAGAGTCACACGAAGTGGTAATATAGATAGCTTTCTTCTTCTTTCACCTCCCTTCATTCTTCCTTCCTTCCTTCACTTCACTTCATTCACTTCATCTTCCTTCACTTCCCTTCCTTCCTTCACTTCATTCATTTCATTCACTTCCTTCACTTCATTCACTTCATTCACTTCCTTCCCTTTCCTTCGCTTCCTTCACTTCATTCACTTCATTCACTTCCTCCACTTCATTCACTTCCTTCCCTTCCTTCCTTCCTTCACTTCATTCATTTCATTCACTTCATCCACTTCCTCCCTTCCTTCACTTCCTCCCTTCCTCCCCTTCCTTCAACACACACCTTGTACCATATACCTCAACAATTATCATGGGAGTCAATACTTTAAAACAAAAAACCAAAGAAGTTCTTGCCAGTTCTGTCTCTAGGGAACCGTCTTGTTATAGTTGTCTTATATGGCTTGTGTCTCTCTCTCTCTCTCTCTCTCTCTCTCTCTCTCTCTCTCCTCTCTCTCTCTCTCTCTCTCTCTCTCTCTCTCTCTCTCTCTCTCTCTCTCTCTACTATCATATAACATATAATTTTAAACCCAACAGTTGTAAATGTCTTGATGTAATATATAGTTTTAGTGTTTTTATTTTGCAAGAATCTTTCCATTTCAAGTTTGTTGTTGTGTGTGTGTGTGTGTGTGTGATACAGTTAAGTGTGTATCTTCTTGAAATACTACTGGAGTCTTCAAGTAGGCCCTAGAGAAGAAGGAGGGAGGAGGGAGGGAAAAGAGGAAGGGGAGGAAAAAATGAAGATTAAAAGAGGGAGGATGGGTGAAGGATAAGAGAAAGGAAGAGGAGATGGAAGTGAAGGAAGGAGGGAGAGAAAGAAGAGGATTAGTGAAGGAGAGGAAGAAGAGGAGGAGATTCCTTCCTTCTTTCCTTCCTCTTCCTTACATATATATATCAACACAATACATAAATTTCCCCTCATATGTCACTTTCCCCGTCAGTAATTTCCCCTCGTATGTCACTTTCCCCGTCAGTAATTTCTTATTCACTTCAGTAATTTCCCCTCATATGTCACTTTCCCCGTCAGTAATTTCCCCTCATATGTCACTTTCCCCGTCAGTAATTTCCCCGCCTCGACAAATTTTTTCCTCTCGTTCGTATCATTAATCTTCCCTGTTTATTCTTTCACATTTATCTCTCTATTTTATTTATTTTTCTCATTTACTCATTTTTTTATTTTTTTTAGTGTGTCTCGGCCATTGGTGATATTTTTTTGTTGTTTTTTTGTTGTTGTTGTTTTGTTGTTTTGTTTTTTTTTTTTGTTTTTTTTGTTTTTTTTTTGTTGTTTTGTTTTTTGTTTTGTTTTTATTTTTTTTTTTATTATTTTGTATTTATTTTTTTTTTTTTTTTTTTTGTTTTTATATTTTTTTTTTTGTTTTTTTTGTTTTTTTTTATTTTTGTTTTTTATTTTTTTTTTTTTTTTTTTTTTTTTTTTTTTTTTTTTTTTTTTTATTTTTTTGTTTTTTTTTTTTGTTTTATATTGTTTTTTTTTTTTTTTTGTTTTTTTTTTTTTTTTTTTTTTTGTTTTTATTTTTTTATTTTTTTGTTGTTTTGTTGTTGTTGTTGTTTTTTGTTGTTGTTGTTTTGTTATATTCTCTGTAGTGTAAACAATTGTCTTTTATTCATTTATTCCATGATTTTTATTTGTTTTTATTTTTTAACTAATTATCATCTGTGTTTTTATCTGTTTTGCGTTTTATTAGTAACCACA